GGGCTATGTTTACACACAGACCGACTGAGTGGCTACTTGGGGTTCCTCACTGGGTAAAGCTCCATCATGGATCACTGCTCTGTCTCAACTGACCCTTTTGTTTTTTGCTTTTCCTCCCTGCCATGTTCGAGCTGGAACTGGAACTACATGTTTCATGGGTCTGGTTATCTTCTCTTTGCCCTCCAGCTTGGGATGGAGCCAGGCGGGACAGGTTTGAGGCAAATGGGCTCCTGATGGACTCTAGGTCCTATGAAGCTTACCATGGCTTTGGTCTCCTTGCAGTCAAATCTCAGGGAATGGTGTGAATAGTGACGTGATATTCTAACAGACTTCTTTTAATTTCCCCTCTGGATTTAGGGGAAGGAAGTTAATAACTTCAACTTGCTCTTTGGTCTTATAGATATAGAACATACCATAAGCGTCTAAGTTTGTCCACATCAAGTCAGACCAAAAGTCTTTCTAGTGTGACATACCCCTCCAGCAGCCAATGCAGCAGCTTAGGGAAGAAGGTAAGAGCAGAGCATACATAGCATGCTGTATCTGTAAAATATTCTGCCACTCACTAGTGTTTTGTGGTTCTGGGACTTACTGAGCCAAAGCCGGCATCTCTGGCACTAGGTTGATCTCATTTGGAGCCTGACAGTAATTAACATTGACCCTCCTCAAACCACTTCACAACACGAGCCAACAATTTATCATGAACATACAAAGAAAAAGAATCCTTCCCTTGGCCATGTGGAGATGCAGAGACTGCCTCTCTGTTCCAAGGCCCAAGGCCAGCTCACGGCAGAACTGGAATCAGAAACTGGAAAATCGTGGTCTCTTTTCAAAAGTTTAGCAGATGAACCCATCTTGCTCGAGCTGTTGCTGCCAGAAATTATTTATTCAAAATGTTTGTTGGAATAAAAATGAGGCTAAATATTCTCACACACATATATACAGACATATAAATATTCATATATATCTTATACATATTTACATATTTGCAGGAGATACTGTTTTTCCACTTCTGGTTATCTTTTGCTGACAAGAGCACTCTTTTCAGTGACACCTGCCTCTCTCTGTGGCTAGAAATAAATACAGATTATTTTCCCCTAAATGTTTGAGTTGGCAGGTACCAGTTTGCACAAGATGTTTCCAGCTCTGTGGCATTTTCTTTGCACAGCACAAAGCCTCCCCGAACCTTTACATGTTGTGAGCACCTCCTGCATTGCTTTATGTGAGAAGTCTCCCTTTCTGCTGGCTGAATTGGGAGAGTCAAAGCAGAATTTCTGCCTTACACCAGTTGCAAAGAAAAATCATCTCTCTGCTTCAGGAAAGGCACAACTGCCTCATGGACTTTCTCCTTTAGAATTATCTTTGCGTTTGGACTGGAATTTTGCTGGAATTTTGCTTTTAGTCTTCTTCAGCATGGAAGGTGCTTTCCACCAGCACCAAGATGTCCTGCCTGGCAGCAGAGAGCCAGGCCAGCCCTCGGCACACGTCCCTCCGCTGCAGGAAGAGTCTTGGCCACAGGTCCATTGGTACCAGCGTGGAGGTCCGTCCTTAGGAGCCTCGGTTTCTAAATATGGGATTTCCATCTGCAGAGTGTATTTCATGGGTCTTTCAAAGAGTTCTGCACAAAGCCATGGGTAAAAAGCACCAGCTTATGCACCAGGCAGATTCAGCTAACAATAATAATATTTAATTTTGCTATGAAGAACCATTACAAGCAAGTTAAATTGTGTTCCCATTTTTCAGAATGAAAGCCAGAGATTCATTTTAGCTGCATCTTTAGAGTCATCCGGAGACTTAACTCAAAGCAACTACCTGAAGATACACAGTTACACGCAGAGAAGACATTAGCACAGGAATGAGAAGAAAGATGCACTACCACCATTTATCCATCACTTTGCCTACCCTGAGAAAGCACCTGTGCAGAGACAGCACAGTTAGAATCACAGAATCATAGAATCCTTAAGGTTGGAAGGGACCTCAGAGGCCATCGAGTCCAACCCCTTGCTCACGCAGGGTCACCTAGAGCACGTGGCACAGGGCTGCGTCCAAGTAGGTTTGGAAGATCTCCAAAGAAGGAGACTCTACAGCCTCTCTGGGCAGCCTGTTCCAGTGCTTTGTCGCCCTCACTGCCAAAAAGTGTTTTCTCAAGTTCCTGTGGAACTTTYGGTGCCTCAGCTTGTGTCCATTTCCTCTAGTCCTGTCGCTGGCCACCACTGAAAAGAGGCCGCCCCCTCCTCCTCCCTCCCTCCCTTGAGGTATTTATAGACACTGTTCAGGTCCCCCCTCAGCCTCCTCTTCTCCAGGCTGAACAGGCCCAGCTCTCTCAGCCTTTGCTCATATGGCAGATGTTCCAGGCCCCTGATCATCCTGGTAGCCCTGCGCCGGACTCTCTCCAGCAGCTCCACATCCCTCTTGTACTGGGGAGCCCAGAGCTGGACACAGTCTCCAGATTTGGCCTCACCAGGGCTGTGTATAGGGGGATGATCACCTCCCTCGACCTGCTGGAGACGCTCTTCTTAATGCACCTCAGGATCCCTTTGGCCTTCTTGGCCACCAGGGCACTGCTGCTTCATGGGCAACTTCTTCTTGAGCGAGAACTTGACTGTCCGTGTTTACAGCCTGCTGCTTCACTCCATGTGCACAGAGATCAGGTGCCAGGGCAGCAGCAGGGCACCAAAAGGAAAGAAAGCACAGCTTGGTTTCAGAAGGCCATGAGAATTGCCTTGGCCCCACAGCAAAATGGGGCTCAAAGTGTTGTGAGGGAAAACAGAACTCTTAGTTTCCATCCTCCTAAACAGAGAGACAGGACATAGCTTTTTGTTTTAACCCTCCTGCTTTTACAGCTTTCTGAGTGTTTCATACACAGTTTTCATTAAATGGAGGATCGAGGAGTTTCTGAATTTAAATTAACTTCATGAGCAATAATAAATTAAAATTATCTAGCTCAATGTTTTCTTTATGCCCTCATATTAATTATAAGGGGCTTTATCTAAACCACTAAGTACAAAGTGTGAGATCTTTAAAAAAAACTCACAGAACCATTAATGTTCTTTTAATGTCTAATAAGAGTGAGTTAGAGTTTATACTTCAGCAATCAAGAACACATTCACAAATGCAACACAAATACAGGGTTTCTTGATTTTTTGTGACATAAAATAGCACTTTTTCCCTGTAGATTTTCCACCTAACTAAAGAGCAGATATTTATGGCTGCACGAATGCTACAGCTTTCCAAATCAATACCAAGACACACTACTATGACCATCTTGCCTTTTTATTGTTATAGAAGAAGAGAAGCACAAATAACATAATCACTGCCATCACTGGTGTAAACTCACAATGTCATTCTGACTCCTTGGGAATCAGAAAACCTCCACTCATCATTCACTCCATTTTTTTTATCATAAAGAACTGCAAACATCAACTGTCAGCAACCATTTTTCTAAATAAAAACACAGCCAAAAATGTATTTACTAATAGGCCTTTTAAAGATTCTTTAAGGTACCAGCAAAATAAGCATGCACACTAGCAATACAAACCCATAGATATGTTGCCCTCCCCAAAAGCTGAGCTGTGCTGACCAATTCCCAGGTTTGATGTTGGAATTCCACCTCCTGCAAAAAGCCAAGTCGGGATCTGTGCCTTGCTTAAGTTCAATTCTCAGTGGGAGCAAAGCAACAAAAGGGGTTGCTTTAAACCTAATATTTAACTGTAAACTAAAACCAGGTCTGTGGTGAGAAGCTGGTCTATCATGTTACTTGTCTTTTATACAAACTGCATGATTTTGCATGTTTTTGGGTGGGTGGAGGGGGAATGTGCACTTGAGGGCTGCATGAACATCCCCAACATATATTGGATCCTGATGATGTATAAAGGGTTTTTCCAGATTACTTGACAGGACAAAGCAAATGTCTCACTTGAAATGCAGGTGCAAGGAAGCTTTTCCTTGCTAAGAGCCACGTGCCTTTCTGATGGCTTTGGCAGAGCCTATGGCAGTGATCTCCTCTGTGGCACTTAATATGTCTGCAAACAAGGTAATAATTTGGCAGCAGGTTGAGTTCCTGATGCCTGCCCTAGTGGGACTGAAAATGGTGAGAGGAGGTTTGAAAACATACGAATCCATCATAAAGTCTTTATCCTTACACCGATACCATTGGAATCATCAGACCTGGCTTTTGCATTCAGTTTGGGGCTCCCATTCACCACTAATGAATAAAAAGCACTGAAAATTTAAGGTTCTTCCATGACTTAGCCATAAATTCTACCATAGCCAAGTCATTCCAGCTTGCTATTTTTTTCCAAAGGTAATTTCTGGAGACATTTAACAGGCTGCCTTGTGATTGGGGCTCCAATGAGTCTGGTTCACCACCCAGGAAATGTCTCCTGGTGTCTCCTATGGCTTGTTCTTTTGTAATCCCTCACGGAAATATGGAATGATCCTGACACCAGACTGCGGCTCAAGGGACCCAAAACCTCTGAAATAAGCTTAGCAATCTTCCTGTCATGCCAGTCTGCACAGCCAGGTGATGCACATAAATGTATAATAAGGATGATGATAAAAGAAATATTTCTAGCCTGCTTGCTTTTTAAAAGTTATTAATTAACCTCCTAACTGGCTGAGCAGCCTGACAGTAAAATATCAGCCTGTTAATGGGTAATAAACAAAAGTGCATAAAATAAGTTGGAAAGCTGCTTTTGTTGGCTCTGATATTTTAAGTATATGAAAAATCTTTTATTGCCTACAAGAATTTTCCATCAGGGTCATTTTCTGTTCCTCTTCTCCTGCCTCCCTCTCCTCACAAAAAAAAAAAAAAAAAAAAAAAAAAGTGAAACAACGAGAAGGGATCTGCTTGTTTTTTTCCCCAGAATAACAAGGCAGCAGGGGTGTTATCAACATCAGCACTTTAACCCCCACTGTGGAGCGGAATTCTTTCCCATATAAAGTTCATGAAGGAGCTATGGACCATTTTGGTGGAAATTAAATGTTCCCAACTGACAGTTTGCAGGAGATTTCTGGGGGCACAGGCATTTTGGAGGCTCTTTGCCAGAGCTCTCTGCAGAGGCCAGTGAGAATGCTTCACCCCAGTATGTGATTTGCTTAATGAAAGACACTTTTCCGGAAGATTTTGGCAGACACAACGAGTTCAATTGCCAGGCAGTGTTCATGTGATTACAAACATTACTGATCACATTAGGTACTTAATAAATCCCTCCAAAAAGATCATAGTTACTGTGTGGCTCTGAAGAAATGAATGCTGTGATGCATGTTACTGTGTTTGCCATGTACTGGACTATTGCGATAATCTCTACAATTTTGGGCAAATACCCAAATACTTTCCACAAATTGTCAAGCAGTCGATGACAACTATTAATTTCTATATAAAAACATCACTGCTTTTAAGTAGCTTTCAGCTATGCATCGTTGCAAAACACCCTTCTTTTTCTGAGGGCCACATTCTGACACTAAATATATCAAAGAATTATTTAAAAGTATATCCTTAGATGTCTTCTCTTGGCTGATATGAAATGATGACATTTCCACTGACTTTTCCAGATATATGGCAATTTACATGTGCTGAGGATCTGCCCTGAGAGTCTCCGGACAATATTTGGCTTGAAATATGAGAAAAGTGACATGCTGACCTTCCATAAAACCCACGAGCATGACTGTCGCCCTGTTTCGTCTTCTGACATTTCAGTAGATGCAGTATCACACAGAGTAATGACAAAACACATCAAAGCAGAAACGGTCTAACTGAGCTGTACCTGTTTGGATAAAAATTGGTTTCCTTGTGGTGCCGCTAGATCTTCCTGTAATTTATTGAGCAGAACTTTAAAAATGAGTGAGTGTCCATTGGCCAAATCCCTGTGTTCCTTTCAGTATATTGCAGGAAAGCAGTCACAGAGGCCTCTCTTTTCTGCTCGCAGGAGGAGGGTTTCTGTCTGTAAAAAATCATGAAATGAAAAGAACTGAATATATCACTTTAAAAGAATATATAATTGATTAGGCCTAATCCCTCAGCACAGCTGTAGTCAAGGTGCTTTGCTGAGTGAAAAATCCTAGCTATTAGTGCTGGTTTTCATCCAGAAGAAGTGATACAAAATAAGTATGTTTAGAACTGGATGCATGGAGAGTATTTTTGGAGCTTAAATGTTTTCATTTTCATAGTTAACTTGCAGGGACTGGCCTTGCAAAATTATTAAAGTGTGCTTTGTAAATCCTGAGCAAAATTCCACTTTCAACTGCACTGCTTTTAATCCCTTCGAGATGATTGATGGCTTCCTGGTGGTGATGTCTTCAGTGCTGTGTAATTTAATTGTAGCAGAGAGCATGTGCTAAGGGGCCGGTTGTGCTCTCAGTTACACCACTGATTCTGCAGAATAACTCGGAGGTAAATCCAGCTGCATTTCTAACCTTGTTTTCTGAAACTCATAACCTCCCAAGGCAGATCTGCACTTGAGTTTGGGTTTTGAGTTTTAATCTGAGTTAATTTATTGACAGTTGCCTTATTGCCAACTTCATTTGGAGATATGCCTCCAGAATCCCATCAACACCTTAGAAACCTCTTTTTATGTTTGCATTTAAAATGTCTGTGTCCTGGTTTTGGAGAGTCTTGGTAGAAAAGCACTTCCAAGCTTTTTTTTTTTCTCTCTCTCTCTATCCAGGAAAAAATTTCAGAACCTCAAGTATCATTTATTTCATGTTCAAATATCCTAGATATTTTGCGGATTCTGGTCTTGCCTTTTGAGAAACAAAGGTTGAAATTCTTGCAATACTTGCAAGAGGGATACCCAAAGTAGTTTGTGGATTAACTTTGAAGGGTTTATTAAGAAGGAGAAAAAAAAAAAAAAGTTAACAGGCTTAAATTTACCAGGAACGGGGTTCACATCTCCGCTGGATGAAACATAAAATCTTGCAAAGCACAATCAAAAATCCCTGTGAAACAAGGTCTTCAGCCAACTGGTATTCCTTTGATGTGATGCATCCTGACAAACTAAAATCAGCAAGGCCTGGATTAACAAAGCTGCCCAGCTCCCATAGGAGTAGTTGGACACTTCTCTGCAGTGACCTGCTCACCCATCCTAGGACGTCTCTGCTGAGCAGTGCAGCACAGCCATTCCCTCTGGCCCTCACCATTTTTGCTCCACTCATTTCTTGGTCTTAGATGTCAGGCTTTTGGGTGCAGAGGCTGTTTTCAGAGCTGCATTTCCCTCCCTTCACACACCTCTACCGCTTTCAATCCAAACTGGTGACATCCATCTTTGCATTAAAGAGGACTGGCTCACTTTGCTTGTCTTCTTGCACTTACCAGCTCACTGCAGTGGCACGTGTTATCAAACACTGCTTCTCACTCATACAATGCAATCCTGGGTGAGTGAGTGCTCTCATTGCTGGCCGTCCAGGAAAGATCCTAAAATCATCTTAACATCACACAGGCTTATCGGGTCTCCTCGTAATGCCAACAAGCTGTCGTTGCTGCCACAAACCCTGCCTAGGAAGCATTAATGACTTATGACAGATAGGAAGAGCAGTTTTAGGAGCATTCAACTATGACCTGAAAGACTGTGAAGCAGAAACCTCAGTTACCAAAATGAAAGCCATGTCCTCCATGGGCTTTCCATAACAGGGACTTTCTATACTCAAGAGTTCTTGAATGAAGTTGTCTGAGGGTAAAGCTTGACAAGCTGGACAGTATAAGCCAAGCACTAGTGCCGGGGTAAGGAAGAGCAGGTGGTGCCTTTCAGAAATGGAAGGCCAGAATGTGCCTCTTGCAGAGCGCTGGCCACTGCATTTCACACAAGTATCTCTGTATCATTCAGTAACTTGTATTTAACAGAAGCACCTTCCCATGTAAAAACCTGGTGACATTTAAGAGAATGAGCACAGCTATAGTTGCTCATGGTCTTGCTGTATCATGCATAGGTACAAAATATTTCAGCTGAAAAATCCAAACAGGTGAAACCCTCTTTTGCACCAGCACAGGCCACCAGTGCTGCAGGGAGTAATTGTAGAGCTGATGCCTCTCTGTTCACAGCCTGCAGCAGTAGTTGCTTAGCATTATGACGGTAACTATACTTAGCATTATGCCCAGGAAATTCTTTTGCATCTATATGATATTGCATTGAGAGCTCTGCCCTAATCAGCTTGCTATTGATAGCTCAAGAAAGCTAAAGTCACTCCAACTTCACTGTGTGGGGCCCTACGTGATTGCCCAAGGTCACAGGAAACCAAAAGCAAAGCAACATAATCACCTTTCTGTATTACAGTTTGGGACACATCATTGATTTACATCTCTTCTGTTGATTCTGCTGTGAGTGACAACTTAAGCAGAGTGACTTCAAATGAACTGGGGGCCCTTCCCACCTACCAAGGAGATGGCACCAGCCAAAGGCACTGAGCAGTCACCTAACGGAGCTAACTGGGAGATGTGGCTACAACTTCACTTCAGCAAAAGCTGCTTCCCTGTCACGTTGCCAGTGTTTATGAAGCTGTTAGGGAGGGAGAAGTTGCACAAGACATATATGGGGCGGTGGGGCTCTATAAGATAAATATAGAGACCTGCTGCCCCTTGCATCCTTCTGGCAGCTCGGGGACCACCTGTGCATTTTAGATGAGTAAATACTACCCCAGTCAGCATTTGTCTGTACTTAGGAAGCCCCATCTGTATGCACTACTAAAATCAGGGCATTTACCATACCCTGAGTTTTTGTTCACTGGGATTTCTGCACCACAAGAAAAGCATGTGAATTTGTAAAGTGCTCTGTGTGCTGTGATAAGAACCTGAGCAAATTCACTTCTGACTTTCTCATGAATATTGATGCATAAGTGAAGAATATAAGCACTTCCCACTCCTCCCTGTCAGCCCTGCTTGCCTTTTATCCTGCTCTCCCGTTCACCTTCTGCTCCTGCCCAGTATAGTCAGACCACAGCTCAGAAGCAATGCTTGAGATAAAGAGAAATTCATCTTTCCCATTCTTTGCTCCTGCATATATCTTCTTTTCTTCTCTATTTGAGGCAGGTAACTCTTTGCCCTGTTATGCAAGAAGTCTGACTGGATGGTCTTTAATGAACCTCTCCAGCCTGTGAAAAATAATCTGTACTTGGTGCAATCCTATTTGCTGGAATGGAAGTGAGTCAGCAGAAATGTCATGTCTGCTGTGCACAGGCAGGTGGACCTGGCGACCGGGAGATAAAGGCTAAGGAGAAACATCTCTATAGAAACACATACCCGTGTGTCTAGATTATAGGCAGTCTTCTTCAAATCCTGCAACGCCCTCTGCATGAACTCAAACGCATGGCAGTCGACACAGGGACGACCTGGGAAGAGGTGCAATAAAAAAGGCATCACTGTCAAAGAGGAGATACTGAGAGATCTTGTACTGACAAAATAAAGCACATTTTACTGGCACCCAAATGTACGTGTGCACAAGGTTAGGGTGTCTGTGGACCAAGATGCATCGATGCTGGTGCTCACTTCACTTGGGCAGACAAACAAAAGCAAATTAACATTTTGTTAATGCTCTTCTGAGCACAGGCCAGGCCTGATTCTGCCAGGACCTGGGTGCCTTTATCCCCCAATCTCTTACCTTGAGGTTAAAACCCTCAGCTCTCATACGAGAGTTAAATCTCAGCCCTTACTATGAGAATAGCAGCTTGTGGTGGTTCAGAAAGCAGAGGGGCAGGTCTGTTTGTACAGGAGCCTTTAGAGAACAGCCTGGCAGGGGACAGAGCCAGATCTGCCTGGGTTTCCTCCTGCCTGCTGCTGTATTTTCTCCCGGGCAGGAAGGCCAAGCGTCCCACTGTCCCCATGCTGCTGCCAGGACATGTGCACCGAGGCGCAGGGCAGGGAGAAGGCAGGGAGGAGGAGGAGGAGGTGGAGGAGAAGGAGGAGGAGGAGGAGGAGGAGGAGGAGGAGAAAGGGACTCGGTGACTAAAATGGTTCACTTCTATCCTGGGCCTGAGCATTCCCACTCCTCCAAGACTCGCCCTGCACTGATCTCACTCCCTCCTTGGAGCTGTGACTCTCTCACAGAGAAATGTGGGTTTTCAAGGGCAGAAATTGCAACGACTGCAGGGGATGCCTCCCTGTGCATCTCCATGGAGGGAGGGAAAATGTTCTGCCAGTCACAGAGCAGCCCTGACGGGGGAAGGGCTCAAAACCTTGTCACCAACAGCCACTTCAACTGCTCTGACAGAGCAAAGTGGGTGAGAAGCTGCTGCTCAGGCAGCTAAGGAGCATCCTGGTGCTGCAGGGTCCTGGGCACCTGCAGGACCCCACCCTGGCTCTCTGCAGGACCCCATTCCTGACTCCCCAGGGGCTTGATGGAAGGGAAGAGCCGGCGTCCTGGTGGCTCCATCGTCCCCAGGAAGCTTCTCTGGAGCTGTGACGGGTCTGGATCCAGGTGGTGTTTGTCCCTCGCTCAGCCTCCTCCAGCTGACCCCAGTCAAGCTATGGGGTTCATCCCAGGGATGTGGGGAAATGGCCCCACTGCAATAAGAACAGCAGCACTTGCTGAGACCCCCTCCAGACCCAGCTCCAGGTGGAGTTGAAAAGGTGGCTTTGATGTTTTTAAGACACAAAAAACCTTCCCAAAAACACAAAACCCAAACATTTTCAGTGTTTCAGTATGAGAAAGGAAACTTTCATCCTCGATGTGCTCTCAGCAAATCTGTCACTCCCTTGGCACTGTGGCCAGCTCCCTGCTGCTGCTGTGGTGCGGAGAGCACCCTGCTCTGGCTGCAGCTCAGGGAAGTGCCGCATACCCTGCAGCGCTCATCACCAAAGCGTTCTCAAAATGGGAACTCACTGAGGAATAAAACAAACTAGGGATCATAAGTGAACATCTCCTGCCCCTCACAATGTGCAGAAAGTGCGTGTGAGAAGAGCAATGCATTGCACAAACACTGAGTGCAACCCGGGAAGCCTTCCCAGACCCTCACAAAGGCCATGACTCTGCAGGAACCTCCACTGGCATTTGCACCAGATGAGCACAATATGGACAGGGAGATACTAGTGGAACTGCACAACAGTGCCAAGTACTTCTCCTATCCCTGCCCAAGTTGCTGCTCAGACATCAGAGCAGCTTCTGCAATAAAATAGTGATGGTGCTCAGAGCATTTGCCCCTGCAGGTCGGTGGGTTCTGCATCAGATCACAGGACTTACACCAGCACACAGAGACTGAAATCAAACCTTAAGTCGCATCAGAGCAAAGCACAGCACAGGGCTATTAATTCTTTGCTGACAGCTGGGAACAGGCTATCACTCACAGGGAGACTTAACAGGTTTGTGGATTAACATAATGAGAATTATCAGGAGTCAGCTATAATTCTTTAAATGGATCCTGCCAGCATGAAGGCTGTGTGTGTCTGTTTGGGGAGAAGCAGGGGAGGAGTGCTTAAAATACACTTCTTGGCCATATTCTTGGTGAAGAACTAGGGCTGAAAACACTGTGGAAGTCTAATTTACTTCTCCTCACATGCGCACTGGGCTTGTTCTTTGTACTTCATGCACTAATGAAACCAGACTGATCAGTTCCTGTTCTTCAAACTCCACATTTCAGCTTTTTCAGTGGATAATTTGGGTTCTAAAAGCAGAGAGTTATTGGGGAAATTACTTCTATTTTTTAGTAGATTGCACCGAATTTTGAAGTGTTATCTGCAAACATTTGCAACACTACTTTATACTTGAACAGTCTTTTGCAAATGCAAAGTGCTTGTGAATTTAGTACAAGGACCTGACTAATCACTGCTAATTAACATTCTTCACAATAAGCTAGGCATGGCTCTCTGATTTGCTTGTAAGCCAAATGCAGAGCAGGAGATGATTCTCTAAACCAGATATCACTACCACCCTACAGGGCAGTATCTTTGTGTAACACAGAGAACTGTGATTCCCTCACAGCCCTTCACTGCAACTCCAGTGCCTCCCACACTTGCACTTACCTCTCCTATAACCAGCACAGACAAAACACCACAGAACTGAACATATTGGGTCAGGAAATGCCTCTTCTCCCTTATGCTTAGCAAAAACAGAATTATTGTGGTGAATGTACATCATGTCCCTCCTGCTAGAACTTGCACTCCAGGCTCATTTCTCCCCCTGGGGCATTTAGGCTGATACAGCCAACATTTTTGTTTACCTGGGTTGACAGTATGGCGTTAAGCACCTGCAATATAGGTGCACATAGGCATTGCCGTTGCATTTCCCCCAGTGTGGGCCAGTGCTATCAGCTCCTTGGTAAGAAATAGTCAATGGAGCGGTCTTATAGGACAAGATGTAGGAATGTCTATACTAGATCAAACTGAAAGTCTGTTTGACCTAGTGTCTTGCCTAGTGTCATGTTTTGCATGAGCTCCTCATAGGAAGGAGCCTGTGGCCAGGTGCCTTCCCGGGCTTCAAGAAGAGCTGACATGGAGCAGTTCATCTCTGTGAGAATAAACTCATGGCCTTCTAGATAGGCAAGTGGCCTCCTGTCATGGACAGGACTGTCCGTGACAAGACACTCGAGCTGTTTACAATCCATGCCAGGAAACAACCTTGGACCACTCACTTTCCTGAGGTAGATATGGCCTCCGTTGCCAGATGCCCACAGGAGTGCACAAGAACATGGCAAACATGCAGGGATGCAGCCCTGTAACACCTTCCCAGGCCTCAGCAATATGTGACTTACACAGTTCCCAAGTCAGAAGAGGTGATTCTGCATCTAACAGCCCTTCCTGAGACTTTTCTTTCTTGAATTTGCCTAATTGGGTCTGTGATTCCAGGTAAGTTTTTAGCATCCACAGTGTTCTAGGGAAGGAGCTCCACAAGTCAGTTATCAGATATAGCACTAATGGGCAGAGGAAAGCACTTGGAGTGGTCAGCAGCAATGCAGCTCTCTCAACAACCAGCTAATTAGGGGCATCCTGGGTTCCTTAAATAATCACCAAAAAAAAAAAAAAAAAAACAGCACAAAGCAATCATGATCAGCAGGGAGCTGATCATGAGCTCTTGGCCTCATTTCAGACAGAAATAACTTCCTAGCATTTGCAGCAATACTAGCAGGATAAAGCTTCCAGCCTCCATATGCAGGATAGAGCAGCCTCCCTCCTCAGAAAGACTCACTCCTGCCTTCAATTCCACATCCTCAAATGCAAGAGCAAGATCAACCTTTCTCAAGGGCTCTTCAGGGGACTCAGTAACCTGGTCACAAGATGTAAAAAAGATTAAAAAACACCTTGAATTGGAGGTGAGAGTATGTGGCCAAGATGCAGTTCTACAGATAAAACAGGAGTGTCCACTACCAAGTGGCATGAGAAACTACTCTATACTTTTTCACAGATCTACCTCTGCTAGCAAAGACTTGCAAAGGGCACATATCATGTATTTCTCAATCACCATATTCCCCTTGAGAAGAAAAAATGTTTCCCCAAAAAGTTGCCATAAAAATTATTCAAGTTAATTAATATACACCTGGAAAACAGACACACAGAATAGAGGTGTGATACCGGAACTACAGCGGAACAGAACCCAAACTTAGTGCTGTCCCATTGACAGAAAAAAAAAAAAAAAGACAAGAAAATGGGAAAAAAAGACCAATCAGAATTCAAGTCCTGCATAGATAGTCATTGGCTTGTTTAAAAAGCAGTAATACTAATCTGGGAGAAACAGGCCTTGGATTAAGGATTTTGGTGGAAAAGATTGCTGTGATAAAAAGTGTGACTTACTTTCGTCACAATCTAGACAATCTAGAGATTATTTTGTAAACAGTTACTTTTCTTTTTCTTTTTTTTCTTCTCCAGAGGCTATTTTACATTTCCAATGAGCGAATATTTCACGCTTGTCTGCATCAAAAAACCCTGAGAATATTGACTCCTTCTCCTAATTCCTTGTACTAACACCTCATTTTAGAGCTAGGAAAGTTGAACTAGAGACTTGTTCAAAACACAGAGCACCTTAATGCAGAGCTGGGATCTCCCAGCTCCAAGCGCTGTGCACAATCCAATCTGTCATATTTTGCTATTTTGCTTTGCAGAGCAGCAGCCTGATTTCGGAAATCAGCACATGTTTTACAGAAACTCTCATAGGGCCCAATTGCCCCCATGTCAGTCCACAGCAGTTACAGGAAAGTTGAACTTGACCTTTTGTTCCAGCTAAGCACCAAAATACACAAAACGCAATGCCCTAGCAGAAATAAACATGATTTTCCTTCTAACGATACCCAGCCTAGCAGGGACTTTGCATGCAGAGCAGCAAACCTGGAGAGCCAGCTCTCAAGAAGCAGAACACAAAGACCTATAACCAAAGACTTTTCCAATAAGCTTAGGTGGAAATTACAGAGGGAAACACAGTATTGTTTTTCCCTAGGTAACTGCTAATTCCTTGCTTGCTGCTTCTGTGGGGGTTATTTTCCTGCTGGTTGCTGCCAGGCTCCGGAGTCATCATTGTACCCTCGCACACGAGGCAACGCCTCATCCCCCTGGAGCATCCCCGTGTGCGTGGCCGAGGCGGGCGGGCTGTGGGGAAGCGGTGCCACGGGGGGGATCGAGGGTGGCAGGGTACGTACTTTCGGCCGGGATGACGCTCCCCGCGTCCTGGCTGGCCCCGGCGCTGCTCGCGCCCAGCAGGCCGAGCAGCGACAGGAAGGGGATGGCCACGCGCACCACGCTCCACGCCGGCCGCAGCGCCATTGCCTCCGTCAATAATTCACGCCGTCTGCCCAGCCTGGAAGGAGGAGAGAGAACGAGAATGAGCGGCTGGCTCCCGGCGCGCTCCGTTCCCCCCGGGGCTGGCGGACGGGCACCGATCCACGTGGACGCGCAGCCCCACGAGGCGCCCATGTCGCCTCGGGCTCGCCGGGTACCTGGTCTCTCCCTTCGCTTGTGTGACAGAGCCTTGGGAAGCGCTGCGAGCGGAGCGGGCGAGCCTAGGCGCCGCCGCACGGAGCATGCGTTCCCTCCCGCATCTCCCCTTCCCTCATTGGGGTCATTGCCATGGAGATTCGCTATAGCAACACTGACAAACTGGAGCTGCCAAGTGGAGGGAAAGATTGAGAGGAGCAGATTTAAAGGGATCGCAGTGATGGCCGGGCCTCTGCCCATGGAAGGCCACCTCCCTGCCCTTGGCGAGCACTGGTTGCTGCAAGCGCTGCAAGAGGCTCTTGGGCAATATTTGTGTTTCTCTGATTCTCTGATTCTGCTAAAATAGGCAGGACCCATCCCTTGTTTTAGCTCCGATTTACTTAAGGAGAAGTTCTGCGCCAGGAGGTTTCAAATGGAGTGAAAACTCAGAAGTTTGCTTGGAGGAGACAAGACCTGCGACTGACCTCTTGTTCCCTGTGTCAAACCGCATTAAAAGTTTAGTGCAACTCAGAATATAACGAGTCCTTATGGACAACAGCAATGCACATGAGCAAGCCAGGAGTGTAAATCCTGCACAGCATCATGCTAGGTAGCCATGATAACAGCCCAATCAAAACCGATGTACGGCCAAATTTTAAGAACACTCACTTCAGGTTCAAGCTTTCATCTGGGATTTTGCTAACAGGCTGTGTCCGAACAAAGCTCATGCATGCATCCTCCTGGACAGGCCATCTCAATCAATATCTGGCTGAACTCAAGCCCTCACAAAGCAGAGGGCATTTAGAAAGGAAAAAAAAAAGAGGCTCTGAAAACCTGGTTGCCTCAGAGAGTGGTTAAAAATTCAAACTCACGACATATCTGTTCAGTCCTCTGCTTTGTGATTCTCTTTGGGAAAAATGTTCCACTGTCTCCCACTTCCTGGTCGGGAACAGAAGAAATAATCTGCCAAAATTGTGAAAGTATCACTCTTTCCAGGCTGGGACAGAATTTAACACCGGCTTTCTTCAGCCATAGGGACCATCACCAGCAAAACTCTAGTTCTGCTTTTGCTTGCTTCTCTGTAGCCTCAGAATTACTCCTCATATATTTCCATCCTTATGCTTTTGAATGAGGTTAGTCTTAAAGTCGCCTCAGAGGACTCCAGGCCCTTGACTGTTTTCTGACGAAGTGGAATTGCCTTGTGTGGACAAGAGAGGACTCACAGAGGGTCACCCAGAGCACTGTAATGAATTGCTATGGGAATGGCACACTGAGCTATTATTTTTTAGCTCCAAAGTGCAAGGGGAACTGAGGTTCCCTTGTGTAAAGGGTCCAAATGAAGGTCTCAGTCAAAGGGTCTTTGGAAAGTGTGTCAGGGCACACATGTTCCTCAGAGAGGCTTCACTGATTCCAAGGGAAGCTGAGACTCATAATCCAAGCTCTGAAGTTGGATGGCTAAAGTTAAACAGGGTATGTTGGCCCATTTTACATTATCTATTTTTTCAGAGGCCCTCAGAGTCAGGATGTAATGGAATAACGTTGCAAAGTTTGGCTATACACTCATCTGGGGTGGTCACAAAGTGTAGCCTTCTTCTGCACAGATTTAAATAGCACCAAATGGAAATTCTGGAACAAAATCAAAATCTTACACTTCCACTAACCCTAGCATAGGTGTTCCTTGACCACAAACACTTCAGGGACCCCTGGGCCATATAACACTTGTTATACTTGAGCTTAAGGATGAGGATAGAAAGCAATTTCCTACAGATGCAATAACACTCTATAACATGGAAGTAGATGTTTAATACTTTTTCAAGGATATAGTCTTTTCTAAGAGTGAAATCTCTTTCATAATCACTTAGTCTTTCCAGTAAGTAGGTTGAACAAGGAGCAGAACACACAATAAATCCCAAATCCTTAATTCTAAAAGCAGCCCTGTTTTAGGAATTTAGGTCTCAATTCCCACAAGCATCAAGCACCAACTCCAGGTTATTTCATTTTTTTCATCATATTTTTAAATGTATAGGATATTCTCTCAGCATATCTGAGAATGGCTTAAGTCTTACTCATTGCGCATATGGGACTTCATGCTTTCACGGATCAAACTAGACTGCCAATGAGGAAAATCCAAGCTATGAAAAACAGTCCAAGAGGCTGATTGTGAGACAAATGCAAAGATACAAACCTCAGAACAATATCCTGCCTGGGGCTGAATATTCTAGTGACTAATAATGATGTTTTCAGACTTATTGACATCCCCATCCTTGCATGACAACAGCATGATGGGCTGCAAATTGTCTAGAACCCTCCTCAAAGCCCAGAGCTCTGAGCAATCTGCAGCTGGCCTAAAAAGCTGTAGGGAACCTGTGGTAGATCCAAAACTACCAGCAAGGAGAGCAGCTGCAGCTGTGCTCTTGTCTGGTCCCTAACAAGCCCAAAGGAGATAAGGAAAGGTGAGATCTCCGGGAGGAAAAGCAACCGCTGAAGTAAGCAGAGGTGTTACCAGTCTAACTGCAAAAAGTAAAAAAGTGGATCAGAACTGCAGATTTGAGAAAACTTGGAAGAAAGAGAAGTTAAATGTCTCTGAAATGTTCTACTCCAGGATGTCAAGACTTCAAGGATGCCTCTGTGTCAGAAAATGCTACTAAGCTTAAGATAGCATCCATTTTTAATTGCGCGATAGCAATATTAAACAATCAGACATTGCCCTTGCAGAGCTAGGCCACAATACGGGTTTTTGTCTCCAGGGTCATGGTTCTCCAGAAGCATGAAACAAGTCCCAAACACTTCTTAGTGACACAATTGTGTGGTCGCAGATGCAGCTCGAAGTTCACAGGGAACAGGAGTCAGGCCCCATGGATACCAGGTGTCACTTCCAGCATCAATTCCAGCAAAGGTTAAGAAGAGGCATGTGGCTTGCTGTGCTATTTTATTTACTATTGCAGACCCATGCCTGCAACTGACTAATTAATTAATATGACTAACTGTTATCAGTATCAGTTTACCTTGAATAATGGACAAAGTCCGGGAAATTTGTGGGAGTCTCCCTGAAGGCCATTGGAATTTCCCAAGGGTCTGTCTAGACTTTATTATTATTATTAATTATTATTATTATTATTATTTTCCTACAGAGAATCCTCAAAAAATCAGAACTATCTAGACATTTATCGGGATTAGTGTGGATATATAGGTATCTCCCTAAAAAAAACTCATTTAAAAACTCATTTTTTGATGTCTGAATGTCACAAGTGTTGTAAGTTACATTTTTGTAGTTAGAGAAAAATGTGCAAAATTAGTTAAAGTCACTAATATTGAAGACCTTAATTAAATATATATGCATAAAAGGAAGAGGAAGACAAGGATTCTAATTTTAGAACTCTATTATTATGGTCATGTGTATTATACATAGCTATTGTAAGCCCTTTATTGAACTTAAAAGAAAAAAACAAAGACAGAGCAATCTGGTAATATATTAATTGAATAAGAGAGTGGCAAGAGAATAGAGACACAACAGTCACAAAATGAGATGCAAATTGTGAGAAACATTAAGAGTAGTGAGAAAACATACTTTAAACACATGTAAAATAAGAGGAAAGCATGGTAAGAATTTGTCCTCTGTTCAGTATAAGGGGAAATAAATCACAATATTTACTGGAAAGAGTCACAGTGCTTAGTATCTCTTTTATATCTGTCATCACAAAAAAAAAAAGTCAACTACTGAGCAGGTGACTAGAGCAACCAATACAAGTGAAAACATTTTAGGTAGGAACAGCTAAGCAAAAATTTGCTCTGGGTGTATTTGCAGCAGCTGTATTTTCAAAAGGGGACATGATACTGGAAAATTGCAGGAAAAAAAAAAAAAAAGAGAATTCTACTTTTATTCCCTTGAAATATACAGGAAAAAATAATCCCACCAGAAGTTTGCAAGTGGTCAGAAGACGCTAAGACTAAGAAGAAGAGTGACAAAAAATAGGCATTTGTTGAAAACCAAGTCAAACAAGTTTAATCTCCTTCTATGACCTGTTAACAGGTCTTGGAGATAGGGAAAATGCACATTTAATTGACTTCAGGAATGTTTCTGATACTATGTCACATTCTGAGGTCAGCAAATGTCCAGGTAACTCTGCTGAAAGTTAGTAATGAGTCACTGCCCCTGTAGAGATATCTTACAGGCTTCTGCAGGGTCTCTGGGGTCACGGATTATTCAATATTTCATTAGCCCTGGATAATGAATAAGCAGAGGGGTTATTTACAGTGGCTGTAATGTCACCCTGGGACGTTAGAGGCAATGCTGAGGGATGGGACTAGAATTCTAAATCACACAAGACAAGCTGAAAAAATGGTCTAAAACCAGAATAAAATTTGACAAAGGGAAGAATTAGGCACTACACTTCATCAAGGATAATCAACTGTATATATGCAGAATACAGAACAGCAGTATAAGTAGCACTTCTGTAAGGAGCTGGAGCATCACAAGCTGAAATAAGGCTACAATATTGTGTGGTTGCCAAAAAAAGGCAATTATGCTAGGATGTGCACAAAGGAGTGCAGTGGCTTAGACTCTGTTCAGTGCAAGGTCTTACCTTGGTCACTGCAGTACGTGTGCTATGAACTGGGAGAGACCCCAACAACAGCAGAAATGATTGAGGGTTTAGAACTCAGGCTCTCCAAAAACAGTTGAAAGAACTGAAGTTATGTAACGTAAAGAAAAGAAGGGAATATGATTTTTTTTTCAAGGACATAAAGGGCTGTTGCATAGAAACTAGTTCTATGCATCTTTGGTGAATCAGACAAGAAGTAACAGGTTAAACTGCATCAGGAAAGCACCACCAAAGTCCTTGGAAAACTTCCATTTTTCCTTTTGCAGTTACCGGGGCAAAGGCAACTTCTTTTCTGGTCTAAACAGCATTTTTTGATGGGTCACTGAAAAAGGAAATCAGAGAAATTTAGCCACAGAACAGTTACCAGTGCTCACAGCTTGTAATTCTCATTTGAATAACTATTTTAGAGTCTTATAGATGAGTTGAGAGGTGACAGGCTCCTGCTCTATAGACCTTCTAGCACATAAACCAAAGAAACCACATTTTCTTTTCTGGCAATCTTCTCAGGCCCAGAGCAAGCCTGAAATTCAAACTGCTCTGTATTTACCTGGTTCTTCATGCCATGAGATAACAGTCACTTTTGTTTGATGGCTCCTTATCTTTGTTAAACGCTAAGGTAGAAAAAAATCTCCCTCGTGAAGTGACAAATTTGCTGTTGGCAGCGTTGCTTGACGCTGATGGAGAGGTTGCCTCCATCTTAGGGCTTCCTGGAAAACCCTTCAAGAATCCAACCACAAGCTGAATCCTGGTCAGCTTCTGAGGGTTCAAGGCACTCCAGTTGTCCCAAGGAGGTCCATGCAACACTTCCAGAAAGGCACGTGACCTAAAACAGGGAGCGTGATAGAAACTCAACACTGAGATCACCCTTCAGTGCAGAAACTATTCAATCCCAAGAGGCCTTTTACACCATACTGCAGGATGTGGGAAGGGATATGGGGTAAAAATCTTGCACAGTTTACCAAAAATCAACAATTGAAGCCAAGTATAACAAGTATCTTCAAACCCCTCCTAAAGGCTAGAACACTTTCTGATACACAGGAAAGGCTACTGTCAAGCAAGCTATGGTGGAATGAAGGGCAATTGCAATCTTCTGGTTCAAAGGAAAAAGTAAGAACTACTACGAAAATATCATGGCTTTCCTAGTTTGTATTTTAAGGACTTCAGCAGAACTAGCAACTGAGCGCTGTGCCAGATATAGGGTAAATTGGATAAGGTAAATTAGGCAAGGGCTCTGTATAGATTGTATACATACAGCCTCAACGCCATGGACAGTAAAGCTGAGCTATTTTCCCTGCCATTTGTCTTATTGCTACCAGTCTTGTCCCTGTCTAGAAAGATATAAGCAAGTAATTTTCCTTGCTTGAGAGCTGTGTGTAAAGTTCCCTTCTGTGCTCTGAGTGCATTTCATTTTCAGCAGGTATCTATTTTTTTAGCAGCTGGGGGGTTTGGCCCGTTGCTCTGTGGCTGCCAAAACCAGGGCAGCAGACGGTGCAGGCAGCTCTCCTCCAACGACAAGTATGTGCATATTGAAAGGGGAGGTGAGGAGATTCCACAGTGTTTAAGAAAAGCAGTTGATTCCTAGGACATGGTTCAGCCCTCCCTGGTTAAAACTCTGCATTTTACACCGTGTCTAAACCAGGTCTTGCCTTGAATGTGCCATATCCCAGCTGCTCAATGCATTTCAGCATCATTCAGCTCCCTCCTCGATGCAAGACTGAATTGTGCATGAGTTATATCCAGTGCTGTTGGCTGAAACCAGATACTTTTCACAGGCTGGATGCTTTTTTACAGTGCAGACCTCGTTGAGGAAGAACGCAAGAGCTGCTCAGACAAGAAACCATGTGTATCAAATTTACTGCATGGGGGATTTAAGGGCTGCTCCTTGACTGGGGAAGAGAAATAACCAACAATACCCAGAGGTTTTAAAGTCCAGTCAAAGCCTTGGCTCTACCCACGCACAAGGGAAAGAAACAGTCACTTAGGCCCTTCTCAGTTGGTCATAATTTTATGTTGTGGTTGATAGGTGAATGGATATAACCTTATTAAACCTGATACGGCTGCAAATTTGAAGGTCAGCGTGAATTTATGTAAAGGAATAAGCCAAGCTTCACCATGCTCTGTGCAGAAGCCACAAAAAATTACAAATTTTTGTTGGCATTATTTGCATAAATGAATGTTGGTTTGCTAAAAAAGCCCAAATTTGAAATAAAAATTCACCTTATGTTAGCAAAACCTTCCATTAATTCAGAATAGACACAGTCCTGTTACACAAAAAAGCTCCTGCACTTCCAGGTCATTTCTTAGAGCAGATCTCTAGATAAATAACCTTAATGTACATCATTAAAAATCCTTTGCACTTCAAGCTAAATGGAAACTATGTTTTGCCTCTAATTTATAGCTAACAATCAAAAAAAGATGCCAATTCCTGTAATGCAACCACCTATATCTCACAGTGCAAAAAGTCTATTGCATATTCACCACCCCAGTTACACCATTTCTTCATTTCTGCTAGTGATACCTACTGGTTATTGCATAAACAAATGTTCTACGGAGTTTAGGAATAAAATACAAGATTAAGTGTGAACATAAAGTTCTGAGCTCGGGGAGCCAAATGAAAATAGCATCAATGCTTAAAAAATCTAACAGCTATATGTAGCTCATATGTTTGCCAGAGCACAAATATTAAAGGGCAGCTTTCAATGAGCACACTCACAGCACTGAGATCCCCCCACTCAAAACCGAGAATTTTAGTACTTAGCTCCCTTGAATCCTTGTCCTACTTACCCTGTGGAATGGTCCAACTTGCATAACCAGTCAGCAGCCTTTCCAGTCGACTTGAACTCCCAAAGAGTCGTGAAGCTATATAAAGCATATAGAGCTTTCCGTGCTGCTCCATTTTCAGCACCTATTGACAAACAGAACTTAAATGCCCAGGGAAGTGCAGTATCATATCCTTTGTTTTAAACAACAAAAGGTGCTCAGGGCTAATGAAGACAAACTGAGGAATTCCGTAGGTTTTCAGCAAGGAGGTGGTTCAGAGCAGGAATCAAGGGATGGCAAAAATCTGATTCTGGAAAATACAGGATCAGGTTTTGGGAAACACTCCTTGGTATGGGGTACGGAGTATGGGGCACGGAGTATGGGGCATTTCAGAAGGATCTAGAGAGATCTCATTTGTCAAATCTACCTTAGACCCAGCCTCACAGTGAAGACCAAAGTAAATGCAGGATTATTATCATCAAACTGTTTCTCCTGTAGGTCTGCAGCCTTCACTGGCAGGAAAGACAAGCAAAGGCAGATCAACATAAGAAACAGAATATATGCAGATAATAGAATATATGTAGATATTTGTATTTTTTTTTCTCATGGCCTCCACCACCTAAACTGTTTTTCTCGTCTTTTGTTTTTAATTCAAGAACTAAGAGGCCACAAAAATATTGTTTCTGCCACTCCTCATCTCTACAAAGCTCAAGTCAGAAAAGCAAGCGGGAGTAAGAAGGTTAAGGAGGATCTCCACAGAGATCAAATTGAAAACCTGGATCCATTTCATATCTGTCTGTTGGGTAAAAACAAGTATTTTGTTTGAAACTAGAGCAACAGATAGGCATATTTTACATTAAATTTTATTTAATAAGTTCATAACAGCTGAAGGTGTGATGCCCAACATTCAGTGCTACTAATATGACAAGATCTTTGCCTCAATAGCTTTCAGTGCAGCCACAAAGCAAGAGACCACTACAAAACGCAGTAGAGGGAATAAACCAGGACAAGTTGTGCAGTAAAAGGCCACATGCCTCTTCTGGTGTCCCTGTTAAATACATACAAAAACAACACTGTGGACCTTTGGATGCTGAGAAAAGAAACACACTTTTGTAGGAGGCACCGTGGCAGAGATTTAAGGATGTCTGGATGAGAAAGTCGATCTGTTGTATATACTCTTCCTAGCCCTTGCACTTCCTCTATTCATATTAAAAATATATCAGGCTTGCAGAGGGCAGAGAAAATACCATATGTGAAGATGAAGAGGGACAAGAGGCAAAACAGTGCCAGGAAGCCTCAAAGACACAAGAACATACGGTTTTCCCAGCTCAGTACCAGGAGTACAACAACATACAGTCATCCTTGGACATTTCTGACATGCACAAGGGTGCTACAGAGCAGTGCACTGATGTAAGGTTTCATTACAGCACGGGATGATGAGGACACGATCAGCACATCCAGTGGCCAGACAGGCAACAGCTTGAGCATAAGCCAAGGGAGAAGCAGTGTCTGCAGTGAGAAGATTCACAGCTTGAACAGGCCATAGGTGAAGAGTCTCTTCATCCTATCTACTCTAAACTTGTCTCCACTGATGCACAGGGTTCTTGTTTGGGAGAGGACAGCAAACATTCATTCACCATCTCTGTGTTGTCACCTCTTTTTCAGACTGAAAACTCAGAGTCTTTGCACACTACTTTGGATTATCCTAGTTGCTTTTGTCTACAGTTTGTCTAGCTCTACTTTTCCTCTATAAAAAGTGTTGACTCTTGCCAGCGTCACGTTAAACCTGAGCATCCACAAGCAAAACTTCAGAAGTTTCTCTCTTTTGCTCAGAACAGATACTCTGGCTGCTGGTCTATAGTTTCCTGACATCCTGTCAATCCCTTTTAGAGTTTGTTCCTCATAAGCCATCTTCCACTCCCTGCTACATTGGTGTTTTTAAACAAGAGGTGACAGTTCTGCTAAAGAAAAATAGGTAAGGATGACTCTAAAGGAGCATAAAGCAAGTCCTAGTGGAAATTCCTGGTTCTGGTGGATCTTCTGTGGGCCAGAAAGAATGACAATTTTTCCCACATTTTCTCAAGAAAAAATTTTCACATTTTTTCCCATCATTTTCTCATTTTCACAAGAAAATGAGAGAAGCTATTTCTCATTTTGCATTTACTCCCCTCTTTGATCTCCATCCAGGCCTGCAGTTATTCCACAGAATTGTCAGGATGGAGGGCAGGAGTTTGCCAAGAAATCCCTGGGCGTGGAGAGAAGGTGACACCACACTGGAAGGGGGAATGGAAGGTGCAGTGGGAAGGACAGCCAAAGGAAGGCCTTGCTCCAAGGAGCCTACCGAGCCCTTGGTGGGTAGAGGAAGGGCTGCTCTGAGAGCGTGGCTGCGGCTGGGGCTTTGCACTTACTCTTGTTTTGCCCAGCAGTTAGATATGAGCGGTGCTGATGCTCCTGTGGGGTATGGAAAGACTGAGTGAAAAATACACACAGAGCATATGCTACAGGAGGGGAGTTAAAAAAGAAAATCAATCAATCAATGAAACAAACACACAAAAAGCAAAACCCAGGATTCCTTCTGCCATGCACATGAACTGTGCTGGCTTACTCTCCTGATCCCCTCCAGAAGGGCACGCTGGGCTTTTTCAGTGTGCAGAAATCGGCTTTCCAAATCCTTTTTAACTGTGGACAGATGCTCATTTTGGAAACCACTCAGCTAGTCGGTTAGTCTACTGTGTTCCCCTACTCGCCAGCTGTTTCTCAGCACACCTAGAGCTGCGCTGCCAGAGCAGTTCCCGTGACTCCTCTCCCACGCGCTTCCAGCAAATGTCACTTCCTGACATTTTAGTTGGGGAGGTGAGGCTGCAGACAGGCATCTTCTGCCAAAATCAGCTGAAGAGGTTTTCACCTTCAGATGTCCAGCTCCCTTCCATTCCCCAGGCCAATTAGATAGCACCCCGCAGCCTCACTGTTGAGGTGGTCTCATAAGGCTCTAAATAATGTCAAACTCACAAATATCAACTCAAACTGTTGAGGCTCAAACTCAGCCTCATTCAGACTTGTAGGTGAGCACAGTATCTCAGAACAGAATGATAGTGTTGGGGGAAAAATCAGCACAGCTCTTCATGCCTGAAACAGAAAAGCTGCTTCCAAGGGAATTACATGGACAGATTCAAAACTTCACACCTTAGGCCTTACAGTATCACAGAATGAACAATGTATGACTGACCTAACTGCTGTGCTTCATCTGAAACAAAGAAAACTCACATGAAGAAACTCCTTGGCAATACATGTAGTTCATGACCTTCTACATTGTGATCCCGAGTGGCTGCTGGTGGTAATGTCTTGGTACAGCTGGAACTGGCAATACGACTGCCTAGTCATGCTCTTATTTTCCTTTTCATATTTTCCTATTCAACCTATTTAACCTGCTAAGGTAGAAGTGTTTATAGACACAGCGGTTTTAAAGTGGACAATCCAGGAAGAGATGAAGACATGCAAGGTTTTACTTAAAAGGACGATACTTTTACCCAGGATAAAGGCCATTTGGTCCAAGTCCAGCACATGTTCCTCCTTGTGACACATACCTCATTACAGCTGACAGCACTGCAACATGTCTGAATGTGGTCACAGTTCACACAACAGGCAAAGAGGACGTTCATCATCCCTAACAAAGAGGCAAAACCGACAGAGACCACAAGTTCCTTTCTCAGTATAATTGGGTAAGTTGCCAGGATATATTGACACTACAGACAAAAATCAGCCACAAGCATCTCTGGAATGTGGCTGGCCATATCCTCTGGGTTACACTTGGCGACCTCTGATTTAAAATCAAAGTAAGTAGAGTTTTCCCCCATTCTGATACCAAGTAACAGATTTATTGAGCCTTTACTGGCAACACAGTGAAGGACTATTTAAAAGAACAAAAATCCAAACAAACAAACATATAAGACACAAACCCCCCAGTTTCCTCAGTACGCTGGGGCAAGCATGCTTGCAAAACGAACTCCATACAGCTGTATTTTATACAGCTGCTTTTTAAAAATGGCAGAATAGGTGACACTCCTTGGCTGGCCTCCAGGACTCAGTTTAGCAGATTTGCAGCTACACAATCACACAGATTTCTTTTCTCCACTTGAAGAAGAAGCGTTTCTGTCTATAAGAGGGAAGAACAAAAACAACGTCAAAACATGAACATGAATACTATAAAACTAATTAGCTCCCACAGAAAAGTTTGTTTTACTTTGTGTGCACACAGACCTAGCTTCTCCTGACTGTTTGGAGCACTTGTGGCTTCATGGTGAAGCACAGAGCTACCTGGCACCAACGTCAGCTCTTCATCCATCAAACAGTCATTTCAGTTTGTCTATCCTTCCCCGAGTGAAGGTCTATCTGGGAATCGGATAGACCCAAGAGAAGACTTCATCCTTACTGCTATGTAACACACTTGCTATGGGAAATTCACCATATTAACCTGCATTTTTCACACAAAAACAGCATTATCAAGACTGCCAACTCAAAATATCAGTGAAGTGCAGCCTTAATGCACCTGTCTCATGTTTGTCATGTGAAATGGCACAACCATGTGATCAAAGATAAAAGCTATGTTATCCACTGACACATATCAGCTAAAGGCACCTGGGAGTAGAGCCAGGCTAAAGCATCCTGTTCCACTTTCTTGGAACAGAAAGAGCAATTGTTTAGGTGTTTCTTCCAGATGCTAAATCATTAGATATGTGGCACCAGATTAAATTAGGCATCGCTTTTGATTATTTCAGCTACCCTGCAAGACTGGAAAGTTCTGATCAGACTTTGCTAATCATCTACAAGACACCCAACCACCACCTTCTAACTATCCCCTTGACATGAAGCTCAATGGTTTGAATAAGGAGGGCTGGCTGTGCACCAAGAGCTCTGAGCTAAGCTCAACCATGATGTTCTCTTACTGTATGAGTAAAATGCAGCCAGCCTGACAAGCAGTAAGTGATCCTCACATCAGAGAGGCTTACAAGCATGTCTAGCCTTGTAAAAGGAAGAGGATACAGCCCATGGCCCCCATAAAATGTTATGTAACCTATGCAGTTAGTTTGATTTCCAAATTAACTGTGAAAACTCTGAGTTCATGTAGTAAAAGTAAAGCCTCTCCTCGTACAGAACTGCAGGGTGAGATTGGCAGAAAAAAAAAAAAAAAAGGGGGAATTTCTTCTCTAAGCTTTTGGGAATCCATCCCCCTCCAACACAGTTAAGAGTTGCTTAGTCATCCTTTAAAAATCCTGACTGCAAACAAAAGAGGGTTTTTCAGGGAAATAAGTGTCTCCAGTGGGACTAGTAACAAAGGGCATTGTATTTTGGGGGATAGAAACATTTGCCGCACTAAGTAGCAAAACTGTCTAAAATAGACAAATGTAAAACATATATGTGGCCAAAAGCAATTGTCTTAAACTCCCAATTTGCATCAAATTGAACGACAACTAAATAACAAAACTAAGAACTTACACACTGTAGAAGGCAATTTCATGAGCCAAGCACTCCTCAACTATTAAACATTTCCATGACTTTTGAAGGTGCAGACAGAATTCCTAGCTTAATGACTGGAATAGGCCTGCCCTAGTTCAGAGGCACTTAAGGATCTCAATATGGATTCAATTATTTAAAGTAATCAAGATGTGATGGGTTTTGTGTTGCACAAATATATCATGGAGCCACATTTTCAGGCTTGCTGTCAAATTTACAACTGCAAAAATCAGTTCTAGGACACTCTTCTCAACTGCACCTTTTCCTTGATTTTTCTTTCTATTTACTTATTAAAAATAAAGATCCTCAAACATAGTTCCTACTTTTAGGGTTCAGGAATTCCATGCTCATTGCCACCTTTCTGCTTTGGACAACTGAATTTTGCAAAGCTTCCCTCCTGCTTTGCAAGCTAGAGATAAGACATAAAAGCCATTGCCGCAATCAGACAATCAGGGACCATTTTGGTAATTGAGGTTTCTTACACAACATTTAGAAACTGTAGCACAAAGTTCAAAAGTTTGTAACAGAAGAAAAGAAAATGTTCTAGAACGATGTTTCAGCAGCCTTAACATCCTGTTTTGCCTGCATACCATACTGAGCAGATGTATTCATTAGCCAGATTTCTTCATCATGAAGCAGCCCAGAAATTGACCTGCGTTTATTGAACAGATTTTGTTTAACTATAAATCTATTGCATACCAGTTTGCTTTGGTTTTTTTTTTTTTTTTTTTTTTTTTTTT